CACTTATACAGAGATTTTTTTTTTTCTGATAAATACCCTACAGCACTGTAAATGTATTTTCTTTTCCTTGTGATTTTCTTAATGACATTTTCTTTTCTCTAGCTTACTTTATTGTAAGAATACACTATATAATGCATATGATATATAAAAATATGTGTTGATTGATTATGTCCTTGGTAAGGCTTCTAGTCAATAGCAGGCTGTTAGGACCTTTTTGGGGAGTCAAAAGTTATACATGGATTTTTAACTGTGCAGGGGGTGGTTGGCACCCTGAACCCCCACATTGTTCAAGGGTCAACTGTATGTATATATATGTTTGTGCATGTGCGTGTACACATGCACACACATATTCTTTCATTTTAATTGACTTTTCAGATCGTTTACCTTTCAATACGCACTGCATCCCCCTTGCAGCCTGAGGCCTCTGGAAATGCAGAGTTAGGTGAAGGGCACCGGGGACGACCCAGCCGCTGTGGCTGTCACTGAAGGAGCCCACGGCCCCTCTCCCTCTCTCCCTGGCTAGTGGCATGAATGCAGATCTTAGTGCTCGAGTCTGGATGGTGAGATACAGGTTGCGAGTCGTAGTGGGGGGGAGGGATGAGAAATCACAAACAGAAATCCATAAATCATACTGGAAAAACCAAAGGAAGACTCTTTCTAATACAAACACAGGTTTTATGCTAAGACCGGTTGGTCAGACATTCCACCGGGTGAGGTGTGGCGCCCAGCCCAGGGTAGGTGGCTGCAGACGTGGGAGAGCCCAGGGCACAGACTTGAGAGGCACCACGGCTGGGGGCCCCCTGGTGTGCCGTTCCCTGGGGGGCACATATCCCCTGGGGAACGGAATCAGAATTTCAGGCATCACCTTGCTACCCCAGTGGCTTTCTTGTGTCAAGGGCAATTCCATTAAGGATGGGGTTTAACAAAACCTGCACAGAGTCCTGTAACCAGGATCCGGGACCTTGTCGGGAAGAGATAAACAGAAAGAGACGTGGGAAACAACTGAGTGCCGCGGATGCTGTCTTGACCTCTGGCCAGAGGAAAGAATTCTAGAGCTGGGCTTTGATTGCTGAGTGGGAAATTTCTCAGTCGCTTGGTCTGAAATGAAGCTGCATCTTGTAGACCTAAGGCTTTTAGGCAGGTGAGCTGTGTGGTCGGACTCAACCCTGCCACCGAACAGGTGAATATACCTGGCAGGTCAATTCCTTAAGTTGAGTCTCGGTAAAATGGGGATAATGATTCAGTCCCTGGCTCCCATTCCGGGACTTTGTGCGCCACTACTGATCTAGTATCTGTGAATACACCTGCGAAATAATCAAGCACTCTTTGACAGGAGATATTTATGTCACAAGGCAGGAAAAAGCCTCGTGTCTTTGAGTGTATGAAAATAGGCACCACCGGCTGAGGTAACAGTGGGAAGCAGGCGTCTCAGCAAGGCTAAGTGGGGCTCCGGGGTGGGAGCCTCCTCTTCCGACTCTCCGAGGGACCCCGATATTGAAAAGGCCAGAAGCACCATGGACAAGGCAGCGCCGCATGAGGGCCCGACTTGCTGACTTAGAAAGTGCTAGCACGGGAGTTGATGGAGAACTACGAGCACCCCCCCCCCCCCCACCGCTTGGCTTTCAGAGAGCACCTCACCAGGTGCCAGGGCTCCCAAGGAGGGATCATCGGTTTATGGCGATGCTAAGGGACAACCGTGGCTTGGCTCCGGGGCACCACGTGGACGCTTTCCCGAAGGTGGGGGCGGTGACTACGCCGGCTGGCAGCACGGGGGGGTAGGGGGCAGTCCCCGGTGGAGCAGCGGCCGGCCAGCCCCCCTGCTCCCCACCTCCCGGACCTGCCCTCCTGCCGCGGCGCGGGGGTGTTATCTGCTCCCCAGGAAGCCCGCGTGCCTGTTGGCCCCGCGAGTGCAGGACGCGCAGCAGGCGGTCTTGTAGTAATTGTAGACGCAGAGTCGCGCCTGCACCACCACGTTGCAGTTGTAGTACCTGTCCTTGCAGTTTTCATCTGCGGCAAGAGAACAGAAAAGACTCTCTGAGCACAGAGCCAGCCGGGACCAGTGGGAGGAGAAAGGGCGCGAGACATGGCTTTCTATCCTGGTCCTGCTTTAATGCCTGCGGGAGGTGTAGGGTGGGCCAAGAGCTTCCATTCTTCTCCTTTTCTTTTAAACACGGTAACAGAGTTAGGTGTAGAGAATATAATTCAATGGACTGTCGTCTCGCTGCTCACCAACACAGACACAATTCCCAGAGTTCACTCTGTGACCGCCTCCCCCTTTCTCCTCACTCCCGAGGAATCAAGCCCCACATGTGGTGTTTAGTATCCCCAATCCTGTCTTTATACTTGAACTGTAAATGCTGGTACCCTAATCACTATGTGGCATTTCAACTTAAAAAAAGAAAAGAAAAGAAATGATGCAGAGTGTATATATTCCTTGGCAACTTGCTCAACGTTGACTTTGTGTGATTCGTTCATGTTTAACGAATGCTCGAGGGAGTTCATTTTCATTACTGAATAGTGTTCCATCATACATTCTACAACTTACTGATCCATTTTCCACTGACAGTTTTCAATTTTTTATGACTGCAAACTTTGCCCCTTTAAACAGCTGTTACACATGCCCTCTCTGGGTCTTGCTGGGTCATAAGGTATCTGCAAATCTACTGGCTCTCATCAGATTGCTCTCCAAAGTGGGTGCAACAATTTATATTTTTGTCAGTGGTACAGAATGCTTTTGCTTTCTTTTGCTTATGCTGCGTGTTTTATTTTTTTGCTGATCTGGTGGATGTGACCTTACCCCCAAAGGAGGTTGAACAGCTCATCATACGTTTATTTGCCATTTGAGTTTCCTTTTCTATGAATTGCTTTACCTATCTTTTGACCGCTTGCTAATTTAATTAACTTAAAACAAATGATTCAGGGAAATTCTTGACATATAATGGATCCTGATCCTTTATTCATTAGATGTGTTGCAAATACCTTCTCCACGCTTGTGGCTTTTCTCATCACTTTGCTGCAGTGTTATTTGTTAAAAAGATTGTATTTTTAGGGCACCTGGGTGGCTCAGTCAGTTAAACGGCTGCCTTTGGCTCAGGTCATGGTCCCAGGGTCCTGGGATCGAGCCCCGCATCGGGCTCCCTGCTTGGCGGGAAACCTGCTTCTCCCTCTCCCTCTGCCTGCCTGCCGCTCCCCCTGCTTATGCTCTCTGTCTCACTATCTCTGTCTCTGTCTTAAATAAAAATAAATAGAATCTTAAAAAAAAAGATTGTATTTTTAATCTAACAGATGTTATAATATTTTCATTTGTGGTTTGGTATTTGTGTTTCTCATTTACGAAATCCTTCCCTACACTAATATATATATTTCCCCATATTCTCTTCTAAGAGTTAAAAAAATTTCTCTTCACATTTATAATTCACCTGGAATTGATGTGTATGTGTGTGGTGACAAGTAGGAATTCAATTTGTTTTTTTCCTATATGGGTAAACAATCGTCTCATCAACATGCACTGAATGTTCATGTTTCCTCCCCAGATTCATACTGTTAACCTTGACCATGTATCATGCACCGTAACATGCTCAGATTTATTTTTGGGCACTCTATTCTGTTCCATTTGTTTGTCTATCCTTGTGAAGTATGTCCTGATACATGGTAGGATACATTTCCCAACATTGTTCCTTATCAAAATTACCTTGGCTATTATTGGGTCTCTGCTGTAAACTTTAGACACAGTCTGTCTGATTTTTCTATGAAAAGCCCTGTCTAGATTTTGATTAACATTGCTTGAATTTATAGATTAACTTGGAAAATAACTGACATAATTTTAGCTGCTTGCTTTTCGATATTACAAATATATTGAATACATTTATGTATCATAACATACAACTTTACCACGTTCTTTTTAAGATGTCAATTCTATCCTGTGTACAGTAACATAATTAACCATTTCCTTCTACTGGTAGAAATATAATTGCTTCTAATTTTTATGAGTTACAAGAAATTCTACAATTCATTCATTTGTTAATTCTACACAATTTACTGAGCCTTATTCTTCGTGTATATGTATATCTGTACAATTTTGAGAGTCTATCTTTATTATTTTTTCATTTATTTGACACAGGGAGAGAGACTGCGAGAGAGGGAACACAAGCAGGGGGAGTGGGAGAGGGAGAAGCAGGTTTCCCGAGGAGCAGGGAGCCCGATGTGGGGCTCGATCCCAGGACCCTGGGATCATGACCCGAGCTGAAGGCAGAAGCTTAACGACTGAGCCACCCAGGAGCCTATCTTTAGTATACATTTCTAGAAGTGGAGTTACTGAGTCAAAGATATCAAATACTTTATATATTGAGTGATATTGCCAAAGTTCTCTAAAAAGATTACACTCAGTTACAAGCAGGAGCCT